AGAGAGAGAGAGAGAGAGAGAGAGAGAGAGAGGAGAGCGATTATTAATGTGGTGAATGAGTAAACTTTTTTCCCATTTATTTTGTTTTTTATTTTTATTTTCTCTGACTTTTTAAGTATTGTTTTTTATTTATTTAATGACATGAAGAATTGTTATTTTTAATGTAAAGCATATAGGTCGAACCTGACTACTGTTGGCTATAACTTTAGTTTCATTTGTTGTTATTTCTAATAACCATGTTGAATTTAATGTTGATTATTAAATTACTAAATTCTGTGGAATACAACACAAAGTAGGGAAGTAATATTTCCATAGTGAGTAAGGGTAGTATGTATATTTGTATAGAGGATGAATCATTGAGATGTGGTACGTAGCTATCAAAAACATCGCACAACAACCCACAAAATTCTACACTTTCTTTGAATCTTTGCATTTTCAACTTCTAATTTGTCAACCTTCTTGAGCAAATCACGTATCACTATCTTTGAATGCTCACACATTTCACCATCAACCCACTTAAAACACCCACATCCTCTTTCACTTCTTCTGACAAGACCTGACCCAAATTCCACTTTGGAATCCGAGTCGAATCCTGTGCGTGTCCGACACCTGGCAGTTGCAGAGCACAATTGGCCAAATTGCCCTTCTAACCAATATTCAATGAAATTCTAGTGCGACTTCTGCCGAAAATTCGGCAGAGTCTCCCCTGTAAATTGAACATTTCCCAAAAATTTCTACCTGTAAAACAAGCATATATATTTATATATAACCCAACTGCCAGCATGTATCGAATTATATCCAAAAATCAAGCATCCTATCATAATAACCTAACTGGACTACCTTTTTATTACTTGACCTTGCTGCTGCACCTATTAACTCTAGGCTGCCTACATACCCTTAACAAGGGATCAAGTCACACGTAGTTCTTCCAAATATTCGTATCAATCATATACTGAATATAAATATGCTATACACTGAAATTCCTTTATTTTAGTTTAAGAATATCTCAAAACTGAACTCTCTCCACCTAGGCATACCCCCATTCCAGATCCGTCAATTCCATTAATACCGTCAATTCAATTAAGTAAATTGTTTACTTGATAAGTTGGTAAACATTCATTGACAAGTGATACTCAACAAACTACTTTTCAAATATGATGAGAAATAGTAATGCATGTCATTGCTTGACGATTCTGCAGATGTTGCAGATCATTACTTGACAGTTTCACTAAGTGGCTGCGAGTGGGTTCGAGGGCCGATGCTCGGCCAAGGCGGATTCGGGTCGGTTTATTTGGGTTTCGTGAAAAAACCCAGGTTGTGCCGAGGATTGTGGCCTTGAAATCGACATTGGCCTCTCAGGCGCATGATCTGATGGGGGAAGATATTCTTCTTTACATTTTTCGTCGCTGCCCTTTTGTTATCAACTGCTATGGAGAGGATGAGACGATTGGCGCTGATGGCCGTCATTTATTCAATGTGTTCTTGGAGTACGCGGATGGAGGAACAATGGCGGATTTGATTGAGAAATCAAGGGGTTTTGGGTTGCGTGAATTCCAAGTCAGAAAGTATACTGAGTCGATTTTGAAAGGGATTAAGTACATCCACGAAAGGGGTTTTGTGCATTGTGATCTAAAGCCTGAGAATATTCTGCTTGTGTCTGATACCGCTGGTTCCTCTGGTGGTGCTCGTTTTGTGCCGAAAATTGGAGACTTGGGGCTCACAAAGAAGGCAAATCAGAAGTGGGAGAAGCCTTCCTTTGGAGGCACACCAATGTATTTGTCTCCAGAAGCTGTGGTTTATGGAATTCAACAGCAGCCTTCTGATATTTGGGCGTTAGGTTGTGTTGTGCTGCAAATGTTAACTGGGAGGCATCCATGGGATTTCACACCTGGCGCCGTATTTGACGTTCGGGACCTGTTAACTGCCCTGCTTGCTTCAAGAATTCCTGCCATTCCTGGTTGGTTATCAAAAGAGGCTAAAGATTTCTTGCAATGTTGCTTTATGTGGAACACTTCAGAGAGGTTTACTGCTGCTATGCTCTTGAACCACCCATTTGTGACTAAACTGGATAATGGGGTTGGAGACGTTAAACCAATTAAGCAAGTGTCTTCTGCAGTGGCTTCCTCTGTTCCGGATTGTCCTAGCTTCATACCCCTTGGAAGTTGGAAGTCTGAAGATGCTGAGGAGATAGCTCAAGAAAATGTTGGTTTTTCTGAACAGGAGATTCTTCCTCTGAAGCTCATGTCAAGGCATGTGGTTCCCAGCCCAAAACCATCAACTTTTGCTATAATGGGTGCAGCTTAGCTTAGGTTTATTGTTTACATATGAAACTCAATTGTATTTTATGAAAGCCTTTTTCATGAACTGGTGTAAATTGTAATACATCATTATTCTATTGATTTTTTTGTACTCATAGAGAGCTAATAATGGAAATATGCCACTTTGATCTCTATTTCTGGGTTCCTTTTCAGTTTTGTCTTGCTGTTTCACTGATGTACTTTATCGCACTATATTGGCAAGTTTGAAATCCTTTTTCATGAACTGGCGTTAGGTTTCTCTCTTTTTCACTCTGCAAGTTGAAGTAGGGTTACATTTCTGCGGGTAATTCCCTTACTTCCAAGTCCTCTTTCACTTCCTTCCTATTGGGCCGAGGCCATGCACACCGCTGTTTATTTAATTAACCGTCTTCCTTTTAAGTTGCTTCAGCACAAATCACCCTATGAATTATCATTTCACAAAGAACCTCATTATTCGTTTTTAAAAACTTTTGGGTGCCCATGTTTTCCTTATTTGCGACCATATAATAAATAATAAATTACAATTTCAGTCTTCCAAATGTGTGTTTCTTGGTTATTCTTTGAACCATCAAGGTTATCGATGTTTGGATCTTGTTTCTAATCGTGTTTTTTTTATCGCGTCATGTGTTATTTGATGAATTTTCTTTTTCGTTTAACAAGGCTCATGCTGCTCCTTCTCCATACCATTCTCCGTCGTCGAACCTGTCTATCATCCTCTCTGGCCCAAGTTTGTCTTCCTGCAGCCCACGCCTTCCAACGTCGCAGCCTTTACCTAGTCCTCCTTGTCCAACACTTGACCCTCCTGTCGTACAGAAACTCGTGCTTCTAGCCCAGTCCCGTCCATCTCTGCCATCACCCATGCCGCACCTGCTCCTGCGCCCACCTCCCCTGCCGTGCCCACTGATCCCTCATGCCCTTCTCACCCACAAGTTAATCCCTCCATGCCTTCAGCTTCTTGATTCTTTCAGACCTACACTAGGAACTCCAACTGCAAACTTTTCTTCCTGCCTCCCGCTCTTGTTTCATCTAGTACATCTTCTCCTCATATTTCTAATACATCTCTGGTAAGTGACTCCCATGCTCATTCGATGGTTACTCATGCTCAAGGGTATCCGTAAACCCAATCCTAAATATGCTAATCATGCGTTGGTTTTTATCTTCTACTGATGGTACTTTTGAGCCTACCTCTTTTTCACAGGCTAATAAGCATCAGGAATGGCATCTTGCTATGGTAGATGAGTTTAATGCTCTTCTTTGTGCCGAGACTTGGAATTTGGTCCCTCGTACTCCCACTATGAATGTGCGACCGAATAAGTGGGTTTTTCATGTCAAGAGGAATTATGATGGCTCTATCTAGCGTTACAAGGCTCGCTTTATGGCTAATGGTTTTCATCAACAGCCGAGCTTGGACTATGGTGAAACCTTTAGTCCAGTTGTTAATCATTCTACCATTCATCTTATCTTGGCTCTCTATGTGCAGTTTGGTTGGATTGTTCATCAATTGGATGTTCAAAATGCCTTTTTGCATGGTTACCTAGATGAAGAGGTTTATATGCGCTAGCCCGTTGGGTTTGTGGATCCCGTCTATCATGATCATGTATGTTCTTTACGTCGCTCTCTTTGTGGTCTGAAGCAGGCTCCTCGCGCTTGGTTTCAGTGTTTCTTTTCTCATCTTCTTCAATTAGGATTCACTGCCTATAAGTCCAATTCTTCACTCTTCATCTACACTCATGGTTCTATTTGCATCTATTTGTTGATTTACGCCAATGATATTCTTGTCACTAGCTCCGATCCCGCTCGCATCACCACACTTATTTCTGATTTGGGTCGTCAATTTTCTATGAAGGATCTTGGACCCACTCATTATTTTTTGGGCATGGAACTTGCTCGTACTTTGTCTGGTCTATCTCTTACTCATACCAAATATATTGTGGATCTCCTCAAGCATGCTAACATGCACGAAGCCAAACTCGTGCCTACCCCGGCTGTTGGTCGTCGTCGTCTTAGCCTCTCTGATGGCGATCCTCTCTATGATCCTACTTAGTACTGTAGTATTGTTGGTGCTCTTCAGTATACTTAACCCTTACTCGCCCGGACATTGCCTTTTACTGTTAATCAAGTTTGTCAGTTTATGCACCAACCCACTACTGTTCCTTGGCTCACTGTTAAGCGATTCTTCGTTATCTCAATGGCACAATTACTCATGGTTTACTCTATTTGCCCAGCACCCTTCATCTCAGTGCCTATTCTGATGTTGATTATGCGAGGGATCCTGATGATTGTCGCAACACTGGTGGCTATTGAGTTTATTTGGGTACTAACTTAATCTCTTGGAGCTCCAAAAAGCAACGCAGTGTCTCTCGCTCCAGTACTAAGTTGGAGTACCATCAGCTTGCCTACACTGCCGCCACTCTGTCTTGGTTACGGGCTTTGTTTCTTGATCTTCATCTTCCAGTTCCTTGCCCTAAGCTTTGGTGTGACAATATTAGTACTCTCTTTCTCGCCTCTAATATGGTGTTTCACTCTCGCACTCGCCATGTTGAGGTTGATTATCATTTTGTTCGTGAAAAGGTGGTGCGCAATGAGTTGCTTGTTGCTTATTGCCCTACTGTTGATCAGATTGCTGATATCTTCACTAAGGGTCTATCTCCTGCTCAGTTTTCTTTCCTTAAGTCCAAGCTGCCTGTGCTCCCCCGCCCCGTCAGCTTGCGGGGGTGTAATGAGATGTGATTTAGTTTCCTGTTTTATTAGTATTTATTTCATTGATTTGTTGTATATATTCTTTGTCTCTCTAGGACTTGATTCTTGCCTAGAATAGGAAATCCTTTGTGTAGACACCAAGCAAAGCATTGTATATAATTATCACAAGATTGTTCAATGAAAATCATTGAGAATATTCAAAACCTTTCAACACATAGGTATAGTAGCAGTTAGTTAGGAAGTAAAAGTTTGTTTTATGAGACTGGAGATGATGATGGACATGTTGGTTGCATTAAAACTCTCAGTTGAGAAGTAAAAGTCTTTTCCGGTGTTGCTTTGATGCAGCCACTGAATCCCAAAGGTAGAGAGCTCTTGCCGAATTGAATTCTTATCCAAGTAATCTGTTGAGAAGGGGTAAAAGGCCCCTACCTACATATAGACATAAGTAAAGCTAGTCTCATAATTTGACTTTCCAGAGCACAATGCAAGTGTAAAAGAAGATACATAATGTGGCCTAGTTCTTGTGGAAGTGTTCAAATTAAAGGCTTTGCTTATCAATTTTCTGAATCCAGCGCCGGCAGAGTTCTTCATTTGTATCTCCTAAGAATCCACTTATATCGGCTCCAATCATGGGAACTCCGAAGAGTGGAAAGTTCTAAGTGGCTGGAATTGAGTAAGCCAAATCCTCCCATTTTGCACTTGTCTCCTGTCCAGTGTGCTGTGTACCTACCAGAGCTTACTAAAGCTGACCTGCTGAGTAGAAATGGTCTTTTACCAGTCACATTGAGTAAGGCCTTGTTTGTTGCCTTGGCATCCAATAAACCAAATAGGTTATGAACATCATATTCTGTCATGTTACCCAAGTGTAAGGCTGATGCCGTAACATCCTGCAGCCTATACCCTATCCCCGATTAAAACAGTAGGCGCTCCTAACTTCCACAGCTTCAGGTTACAAGTAGTAAAAACACACCGAAAATAAAATATATTTTCTCCATCAAAAACAGTTTAGGCGTTTGTTCCTACTTGATATTGATATTTGAACAAATAAAAATTCCCAAGTGGATTAGGATTAGGATTAGGATTAGGATTATTCTAGTTGGATTTGTTTCATCGTTTATCTATATATCTATATGATCCTTTATCTAAAGATAAAGATAAAATTTCAAAACACAATTACTTCATGTTAGAGAGACAAATGCGTACAATACTAATCCATTTAAATGCAAATAATTAAAAACAAAAAGAAAATATTTATTTTCTATGGATAAGGATAAAATAAAAGTTGGAACAAAGAAGGCCTATCTTTCCTTCCTTATTTCAAGCAGCAATAACATTATATTTTGTCCAAGGATAAACAACACAAAAGGGTAATAATCAAGACAAATTTTTTTTCTATTTCTTCATTATCAATGCGGACCCAACTCTGCAACTCTCAACTGCTAAATATTTACCAATGCATATACATAATTGGTGAAAAATGGAAACTTATT